TGGTGAAAGTCCTACAATACTTCTGTACTCAACTTGGCGAGTCGGCCTTAACTGTTTCGGTTGCTGTTGATTGCCACCACTGTCAGGATCATTTTCACTCAGCATTGTGAACTCCAGAAGGTAAGAAAACACACTTCTTTGTATTAGAAACATGAAATCGTCCCACATCTAAGATCTTTTATTTCATATACTAATGGCGTGAAATACTTGATAATTTCCTCCCACTTTGAGACAAATTTTGCTGTGAAATTATTCACTGCAGAAAGTGTAGGATTAGTTTTCATAACACCAAATCGCCTACTTTGTAAATGTTATTTCTGGGCTGTTGCAGTGTTGTTTCTTGTTTTCTGAAGATCATCTTTCTGCCCAGTTATTCGATCTTTTACGGTCTGAGGTTTAGCAGGAAGCTCAGTGAGACAACCCTATGGAAGGATTATTTCACGTACTAGATGTATTTTGGGAAGCATGTAACCTATAGACTCACGAATAGAAGTCTTCATGGCAAAATATAATTCAGGTAGATGATTAACCCCAGTTCAATGATTCTTATGAATCTATTTATTGATTCTTTCATGTAACTTTGAGGGTGATATAAAGTTGAAAAACATTATTAACTCCCATTACTTTACTAGTTTCAGTCATAAGTGATACAGAGATTGAGGCCCACTATCTCATACAGTAGTCTTTGGAATGTAGATCTATACAAGCATTCAATTGATTAGTTTCTTCAGAATCACTTGAGTGTTGATTTGTCTAAGAGGATACAGTTCAAACCATTTACCAAAAATAATGTGTAATAGCTAACAGATAACTGTTCCAAAAATTAGATTTATAATAAGATCTTATAACGTCTACTCCTATTATTTTACAAAGATCTGTTATTTTAGTGCTTTCCTGATGCCCAGTTTTATCGAACTTTGTAGTTTGACAGTCATAACATGATAACATAATTTTTTTAAATATTGTTTCATATCAGGTCAATACCTTCTTCTTGATAGTTTATCAATTGTTTTTCTAACACTTAGACGACCAGTAACTGGATGATCAAGTAATTCACTTACCATATTGATTCTCGATATTTTCGGAACAATTAATCGATAATTCACCACTATTATCAATTGTCCTGATACAATGAAGAACATTGTTATATAACACATAATGTTTTGACTTAATTGCAGTCGATGCAGTTATAAATTGATTTTTGGACAATTCTCCATTTTGAATTAAATATTTGTATATTGATAAGCATTGTTGCTAGCTTTCTCAGTAGCTAACTGTCCTTTACTGCTAACGTTAACATTAGAAAAAGTTTTGGGGGAAAACTTACAAAGAACTAAGTCGGGAGTCTCTTCTGGAGGATCAACCCACACAAGAGTTAAAATTTACAACAATATATTGTCAAACTGAAAGCGAAAAGCTAAAAGTCCAGAGCTGCTGTTACAAAACACTATAATATCAACAAAATAGGCTTTCACACAACTCCACCTTGTACGTGTTACCTTTATCAATTATTATTCCAGCACAAGTACATGACAGCTCCTGAACATTATCTGATTCACCAACAGAAAAGACAACCACTGATTTCCAATTCATGGATTCACGCCCTCTATGTATCAGAGAAAAGAAATATTCAATTGCTTGTTTGAGTAACTCTTTGTATCGAGAATGAACTGAGAGAAAAATATAGAAATTTCAAAAATTTTCGCATTAATTAAGGCACAAGCTAATGTGATACATTCATTTACCACAAGAAAAAAACTAATTCGCAAGATTATTCACAATAACAGTATTAAACATTTCTCAAAGACTATTCGTAAATCACAAGTAAAAGATCAAGTGAATACTTCACTCTAATCTAACACTTCTTAGTCTCACCAGTCTGACTTCAAGTCTTATAGCCACGAGATTCCATCTAACATAAGTAACTACTTAACAAAATGTAGAATAAAACAAAAAAAGTTTAAACATTTGCCAAATTAAATAAATATATTTATATATATTGTCGAATATGGGGTTCTTTACCTTTTATCCCCCCCCCCCAGTGGCATAGCAGTATGTCTGCGAACTTACAACGCTAGAAACCGGGTTTCGATAGTCGTGGTGGGCAGAGCACAGATAGCCCATTGTGTAAATTTGTGCTTTTATTATTGTATCTCGCTGGACATTTTTATTTGATGCACGAGTTCATTACCTCACTGTATGTATTTTCTTATTGTTTGTATGTCTGTGATATGTCCAGTTGAAACTGAATTAAATTTAGAACTATATTGAATAGGTGTGCTACATAACAGGACATTCGCTCAAGATACTGATTAAGGAGTAGCATTAAATTTATTACTACCTGAGTTAATATAAAATACAATAACGAGACTGGACACAAATTGAAATACAAAATGAACAGTCTTTATTAAACACTAAACACAAACACATTGCGTGTATAGTTATTGTTAGTTACATGGGATAATCACTTTTATTGGATCATAGGACTTTCTAATGAAGAACAAGTTCCAGATTATGCTAATTAAATGATGTTACAGACAGGACTGACTAAATGTAATGTTACTTAGTCCTCAAGAAACTTTGCATGTATCCAGAACGATATGCACTACCTATGTGACTGGTCATTCTCGTTACGTCATAGTTGGAGCCACAACCTCTAGATTTCACCTGAACAATCACTGAAGGACACTGCTGTCGACATTCTTACAGAGTTTGTTGTATTAATAAATGTTCTTATTTCTGGGGTGTAACGGGTATTATCTACTTTCAAGCGCAAAAATGGAAAAAAAAGATCACTTGAAGCAAGATCAACTTAATGGCTTCTCGACTACATGTTATGTGAAACCTGCACATATTCAGAACAAATAATAAGTTCAGAATAAATATCATTATATTACAAGAAGAAAGAAACACATGGTATATTCAACTACAACATACATAATCAGTTTGTTACCTTTATTCATGTTCTACTTACTTTTCCTTAGTTTATTTGGCTAGTACGTCATTACTCTAATTAATTGTCTTTCTCCATGATTTTTTTATTTCTGAAACTTGACTCAATTAATTGATTTTTTGTACTTTTCACACCTTTACCTTTTTCTAGTTAAAGTTGAGAATATGGGCTTAAGACTTCGAGCCACGCATTCTTTATTATTGTAACAGTTAAGTTTACAAACATATAGTGCTAAAATACGGTGAGTGATTCCTTGCTGTGGACAGGATGCAGATAGTCCATTGTATAGCTATGCACTAAGAAAATAACGACAACTTATACTCTGTCGCTTCTAAAATCAGTTTTCTCCTCCCTGGAAACCCAATGAAGGACTGTTGTCTCAAACATTTATTTCACATTCGTCGGTAAATCTATTTTACTTTGGCAAGTATTTCATCCTGTTTCTTATATTCTACATTTTTTTATTTTCCTTGTCTACACAATTATTTTGTTAACTGCTTATCATTTTGTCAGGGTTTTATGTATATGTGGGCTAAGGATTCTTCTACAGTAGGTGTCTGTGACTTATTGGCTATAAATTCGATAATAAGCAAGCAACACACACTCCACTTGTTTTAAAATAATATCTTCAAAACAAGTGAAACTATCTACAAACATTCTTTACACAATGGATATCACAGTTGTGTCTCAAACTCTAAATAATTCTCTTTTCTTGTTAATAGTCCATTTAAGCTGATTCAATTACTTTAGAATCCAATTGACAACAACAAAAATTTTCTCTACTCTACTCTACCCAGTGGGTTACCACAGTTGTATCCTGAACTTCAAATAATTGTCTCCTTTTCGTCAAAGTCCACACATACCGGTTCAATTACTTTAGAACACCCTCTGACAAGACAAATTATTCTCCTTATCTCTATTAAGCTGTGAAATTCACTTTAACATATCGCCCTTTATGGCTAATCACTCACACGCCTGTTAATTTCACGTTTTCTTTCTCTAACTAATTTTGTGACTGAACTGCATTTTTTTCTCTTCACGTTGCTTTACTTCAATTGACTTGCGCTCGCTTGGTCGCCTATATTTATAAATTCTCAACCGAGGCCTCGAACTTAATCTAAACTACGCAAGCGGTGCTGTAAGGTAACAATATTCTCTTAAAATATCCAGAAAAATACCGAAGATTCGAGATTCAGAAGTATTAGTAAAGCCAAGACAACAATGTAATTGCAAACACAACATACAACTCGTACAGAGTTATGTAATGAAATTTGTCACAACTAACACTTTTAAAACAATCCATTTTCAACCCTCCTGTCTTAAAAACTCAACAATAATTTAATATTAAGTCACAAAATAAACTAAATAATACCACTTACACTAAACAGTCTTGTATATCCAACACGTTTGTTTTACCTAATAAAACATAAACCTAATATTTACATGTCACTGTTAGAGGATTTGTTTGTTTCCTTGTTGTAAAGCACAAAACTACCTACCTGTGCTGGCTCACCAGGGGGTATCGAAACTCAGTTTTTAGCTCTATAAGCTTTCAGGCTTACCGCTGAGCTACTATAGATTCTGTTAGGAGAACCTCGTTGTTCTCTTTGTCTTTTTAATGTAAAGCTACACAATGGGTCATCTGCACTCTGTTCGCTGCTGGGAATCGAACCCTGGATTTTAACGTTGTAAGTCCATAAACATTTTGCTGATCCACCGGGTGTAGGAAAGTTCGTGATGGTGTATTAATATATAAATCATTCGTTTATGATCTATCACACTACGAGGAAGATGAGCTATTAATGCAAATAAAAATAGAGCTGAACCAAATTGTAGAAGGAAAAATACATAAACGATAAAGAAATTCATGATTAAAAATAAAATAGAAATTACTACCTTTCCACATTGGTAGATTTGTCATAAAAACAAATACAAATTCTGATTCATATTTGGGATAAGAAATTTCAAAAATAATTTAGATTTAAATTATTTTCTAGAGGGCACCAAAATAGCTTTTTTTGCTGCTATTGACCCCAATCAGCTTAACCATCGATAGGTTGTAAAATGCCAGGGAGGAAACGAAGAAGAGACAAAAGTGAAATAAGTTGTTGTTTAAAATATTTGATTTTTGGTTTTAATGTGATATTTTGGGTAAGTTATGCTACCATTCGATAAAATAAGTAAATGAAGTAATGGTAGATATAATTGAAATGTAAGCTCTCAAAAGTTTATAACAGATATAATGTATATTTCATTATTTGTCCAGCTCAGCATTTGTTTTTATGAATTTTAGTAATGTACAGAAATTTAACTTTTTAGGTAATTAATTACTAAATTAGACTAGTTCACAAACTTTGGAAGTTTTACTTTTAGTGAGATACGAATTATAGGTTTTGCTATACTTAAGAAAATATGTGTAACATGATAAACACGTAGAATGATGGTGCAAAAAAGGACATTTGGTTTTTCAATTCTGTCGTTGAAAAGCCACCTTTGAGAAAAGTGAAACTATAAACCCACCCATTTATACCTGTTTTTTTTTTCTGTGTCCTCTCATCCTATTCGTAATATAGCACAAAGAAATCACAGTCTTTTATCCTGTTCAACCTCCAAATAATCATGTAAACATCAATAATATTATTATTATACTTACTATTAATATTATTAGTATCAATACTGCATCTTACCATTGAAGCAACTCTCTAGCCCTTGAGTATCTTCCCACACATTATGGGCCAACAAAAAATGAAGAAGAGGCTTGTTTATCTGATCTTTGACCACCTTTAAATCCATGGAGAAAACCTTGTTTGACCCTTATGCATTATTTTTAACTCCTCAATCATTTAACTTATCACCAAGGGATTAATATCTAAATAATTTAGGTCTATTCCAACAATTCCCATAGAATGCTCAGGATCAGGTAATATCTTGTAAAAACATGAGAAAAAATATTTCAAAGTTTAGCCATCTCAGAGTCTTCAAGAAAACCTTTTCTATCAGTGTCCTTTTAAGGACCCAATCCACGCTTGAAAAATTTGCCTACCTTTAGCATACTTTAAAAAAATCCTTATTAGTTTTATTAAAACTTTTGACATTATCAGCTAGCTGTTTGTCATAAGCCCTTTTGGATTTCTTAACTTCACTATTTTTAAACAAATGCTTTGATTTTGTATAATTCTATACACATTCCAATTTGTTTATCAATATAAATTTGTGGCATTTATCACTAGCTTTATCCTTTGTCTTTAGTAAGCCATTAAGGTTTGAACTTTCTTGTTATCCTTTTTTTATTTTTAGGAACACCCCAATCTTGAACTAAAAGTGATTTATTTTTTAAAATTTCCAAGATCTGTGTTCACCTCATGATTTAACTCATTGTTCTTGTTCACTACTGATAAATCTTTCCTCATGGCCTCAGATTTGGCTTTCTGAAAATTAGAAACTAAAATCTCATTTCTTTTTATCTGAGGATGTAGAAAAGGAAAAGTAATTGTGCAATGATCACATTTTACCATATGTTACCCCATTTGGGTAACAAGTGACCTGTTTGGTTCATCGAGGCTCTCTCATCTGTTTAAAAAAAAATGAAATTCAACCCTGATCATTTAAATATTTATTACTCCTTCCCCTAAGCTCCCTTGAATTTACTGCATCCACCATATCTGAAGGTAGCTCATTCCAAAGGCCAAGCACCCTCTTAGAAAAAATAAAACTAAGTTAAAGATGATTTCTACCCTATCTTTTAACACTTTCAAGAGAAAGCAATTTCAGAAATCTTGATGTATTCTCATATAACAACCATCCCAAGTATCATTCGTAGTAGCCCTCCTTTGAACCTATTCCATTATTCAATTATACTTCTTAAGGTAAGAAGGCCAATATTTGAACACAATACTCTAAATTAGGCCTAAGTAGTGACATATAGTATATTACATGTAATTTAAAAACAATAACTTTCCTGTTGATCCATCTTTACCATCTCATACATTAGACTAAACTTCAAAGTAAAAATATAATACTCAAACCAAGCCCTAATCATTCAAATACGTGTTAAACCTTCCCTGAAATGAACTTCATCCACCACATCTGAAGGCAGCTCATTCCAAAGAGCAACCAAAACATACAATTTTAAGTTTTCTTACAGATATGTTGAGTATTAATGCAAAAAATAAGCTTTTAACCCTTTGAATTCTAACTGATCATTTGTCATAATATTTTTATGAGTCAAATTAACATCTCCAGTGTCCAAAAGTTGCCCATACATCTAAAATATCTAAATTTAAACAATTCCCAATTAAGCTATTTAGTACTTCCCCAAGTTCTCTATTTCCCAACTTGCTTCAAAGGAGACCATTGTGTACAAACAGCCCATCCTTTTCCTAAAACTTTTACCATATGTCAATTCAGCTTATTTGATGACATAGACAAATTCCTGATAATCTCTAATTTAAACACATTGTGCCTAATGTGAGGAAGAATTTATGAAAGAGATACACACCATTTGTATATCCTTAAAACTTTGCAGTAACTCTTTCTCCTATACTTTAACTCTGCTGACCTGACATTCCTTTTATCATTTGCACCACACACACACACTACAAAGCTGAATCTTGATTTTTTTCAACTAAAAGATTACTGTATCAATAACATCATGAACTTTAGTGACTTGTAAGCAAATTCTGGGTCTAGTTTTTCTGTATGCTTCACAACAAAAGAATCTATCTAGATAATTTGAGAATCCTTTATTCCAAAACATACTTACCTCTGCTAACACTATAGCTATTTTTCGATTTCCAGGGTTTCCACTCTTTGCCCATCTAAGCATTGAAAATGCTTACTCCAGTCTTTATATACCCCACTCGACTGCCCTTAGCAAATTCTAATTTGTAAAATTCTCCATTAACTTCAATGTGCTCTCTATCTAAGTGCTGTATATAAACACCTCATTCAGATAATGTTGTTACTTTTTCTCGACAAAACATTCGGCACAGGTTTCTGTAAACAGGAGTGTTGTGATTATTCACAATTTATGTTGCGACTTTAAATGTGGGTTGGTGTTACGACAGTTATATCCTCGTTTATATTTATAAATTACTTTGACAAAAAAAAACACATACCTACGAGTATGAATTCCTAAGTTAATGTTTCTCCTATGGAGGCCAACCAGACCTCTTCTCTTCCACATCTGCTATCTGGTGTTTGTCAACTGTCAGGAGAGGGGTTACTCTCAGTCGAAGCTGTCTATGATATGATCTGTTGCAAGATGGAGACATATATGCGGATGCGGGGGGTTCTGAGGCAGCTTTTAGACTCGCTTTTTCCGGCTCCTTTTTTTTTATACTAGGCCAGCCTCAACAGAGGATCATCATGATCAGCCACCTCCAGCCTCTTTTCTTCAGTTGGTTACTTGAATTTGTGAGGTTTTGGGGTCTTTCCTATTGCTCTTGACTCTACTCTTTCCTTGTTGGCAAAAAGGATGGCAAGTGACTACTTGGTTTTCCTCCTCCTTCCTCCACAGTTTTCTTGGATTTGTCTTACTCTCACGATTGTCCTGAGGTATTTATTTTCGATCCAACTTTTGTCGGAAGCCTCTCAATGTTCCAGTCAGCAATTTGAGGACGAGTTGGGGATTTTGCTGATGTCTACCTCAGTCAGATTGTCCTCTTCAGTTCTTTTCTGGTTTCCTGGCTGGTTTGTTGTTGGGATTTATTGGGTAGAGACACTTTGTTAGAAAGTACCCGTTTACCATCTTCTGCCATCAGGAAGTTATGAGAAGCTCCTTTTCCCTGTCCTGTGTTGTTTCCCAGAGTTCCAGAGACGTTCGAATCACAAATTGATTCAGCTTGTTTACATTCTTCTTTATTGGCTTCTCGTCTTTCTGGCACTAATTTGGGAGTTTGGCTCATAGTGTTTCCCGACCCTCTCCTTCGGTTCCTAGGTCTATTGGTCCTAGACTATCTAGTGGGGGGGAGCAGTGGAAGCATGATTACATCACTTTCTGGACATCTGGAGTTCTTTCACCAGGGATCCATGGGTACTCCATGTTCTGGCTACAGAATTGGTCATTCAATTTACATTACCTCCACCATAATCTGCACAACCTTTTGCCTTTTAACCTCCAACAGATCCATGGTGAGTGGAGTTTCGTTCCCAGGCCATAAGAGAGTAGAATGGGCAGTAGAAAGGGTCAACCCCATTATTTTTGGAATTTATTCCCCCTTTTATTTGTTGTACCCAAGAAGACAGGCGATTGGCATCCAATCATCGATCTGTCTTGACTCAATCAATTTTTAGATCCTCCTTGCTTTACTATGGAATCTTTTCTCGATCTACAATGACACTCTGCACCAGGGCTCTGGATGACAAAGTTTAATATTAGCGATGCTTATCTACATTTTCCCATAGCAGACTCTTCCTGGAGGTTTCTCAGATTTGTGCACAAGGGTCTTGTGCACAGGGCTTTTCTTTTTGGTCTTGCATCAGCACCTTGTGTCTTCTGCAGAGTTGTTCAAGCTTTTTCTCATCATCTGCATTCCTTGGGCTTGTGCACACATCATTATATGGATGACTAGCTCCATTCCATCAATTATCAGAACAACACTCTCAGATTCTCTTTTCAGAAGCCACAAAAGTGGGCTTTCTTATCAGACTGGAGAAATCTATTTTGTCACTGATGCAATATCTCATCCATCTAGGTGTGATTTTCAATATTCAAGTTGCACTCAACCAACCCCTATCAGGCTCCAAGCCATGGAAAGAGCTGTCAGGCTTTTATTTAAGTTTCCTTCTCCTACTGCACAGATGGTTCTCTCTCTTTTGGGAATGTGGGAGAAGTGGAGGAGAAAGTTTGTCCACTTAGGTATAGTTTACTTTCTCTTCGTGATTCCGGTGAAATGCATCACTCTTTGGCTACAGGTTGGGATCCTCTCAAAAGTCTATATATATATATATAAAACATTGTGGTCTATTAGCCCTAGCCACCAATGTGGGATATAGGTACCACAACCCTGGTTGGGGCTAGCCTATATTGATAATTACTCATATTCTATTCCACCTTTGATATAAGAACTGAGTTCCAGGTGAAAAGCATACCTGTTCTGGATGTACCGCGGTTCCCCCTACTTATGTACCATTTTTATCTTGGTACACTCCTGTTTTATACAGACACTTTCTGATTGATTTATGCCTGCACCGGCCCCTCCACCTTCTCAATGTGGGATTCTAGCAATAGTGTCAGTGGAGGTAAGTATGTTTTGGAAGTTAACATTTTCCTAAACTGAACATGTATTTCCAATAATACTTACCTCCGCTGACACTCTCCCACCCTACCTCCCCACTAAAAGCTGGTTTATGTGTTGAAAAAGTGATTACATTATCTGAATGAGGTGCTTTTCTACAGTATTTAGATAGAGGGCACGTTGAATTTGGTGGAGAATTTTGCAAAATAGAATTGCCAAGGACATTCGAATGGGGTATATAAAGACTGGAGCAAGCATTTTCAATGCTTAGATGGGCAAAGAGTGGAAACCCTGGAGGTCGAGTGACAGGTATAGTGTCAGAGGAAGTTAGTATTATTGGAAATACATTTTCAGTTTAGGAAATGATATTTCATGATATATCTCATTCTATTCGTTAATAACAAGTAGTCTCAAATGTTTTGAAATTATTGCCCGTGGTTGACTCAGAGCAACTTCTTTAGTCCTAATCTTACTGTTTCCTACTTTACTAAACCCAGTATTATCTTACTTTTCCGTACCAAGAACCATTGAAACATTATATTGGTTATACAGCCTTTAGGAAGACTGTAAAATTCTGATCCTTTTTTTTTGCTTGTTTTTCATATGTCAAATAAAGCAGTATAGTAAAACAGTTAAAAAGCCACAATTTCAAATTGTTTGATATGATTAACTGAAGGTTTAGTTTTTGAATTTTGTGTAATATACAAATAATTTAATCAGTTACCATTATGTATTTAGTTGAATAAATACATTTAAATGCACTTGTAAATATCTTTATGAGTTTAAGTTACTTGATTTAAGTACTCATTGATGTTGATGTAACTAGCATAAAATAGTTGTATTTTCTTTGGGGTTCAAAGGCTCCAGTGTTCAAGCTCATCCATTATCCACAATTACCTCTATAGCTACTCTAAGAAAGGTCTGTACCCAAAACAAACCAGAAGACATCTGCCTGCTAGCTGGTGAGTGGGTATGAACACAGTTTCAAACATGGAGCCTGCTGGACCTCGAGTGGAACCAGGAATACAAAATCTGATTCTAAATTTGGATTCAGTGACCCTGACGACCTACTTCTAAACTCCCATTATGCCTAAGTGACCATATGGGCAAATTTTATCCCTGTATGTAGGGAGCAAGATCTGATACATGTTGGCCCTGATCAGCTAGGAGACCCATGGGCTGACTAGAATAAGAAAACTAATCTAATTGGCTCAACAGAGTAGATTAGAATTTTAATCATTTTTCTTATTTTACCTTGGTATCAAACGTGCATTTACGAATAATTTTCGTGAAACCATAGTTGTGCTTTTGTATTGTGAAAGTATCTTCTTTAATTCAATCTCCCAAATGGAATCTCTAGCTTTCTGGGGATCCCTGGCCTATTTTTAGATGTTATAAGAAATTCCTATGATGTGTGAAATGAAAAGGAGGTTCCTGGAACACGTGATTGGTGGAACAATCCAAACGAAATATGACAAATATTAACATCTCAATTGAGAAATACTTTTTAGTCAGTACTAAAATAGTAATCTTATGTCACATTATTATTTTTATTCTTAATCTGGGTTAATAGAAAGATTATGTACATTTCAAGAGTAATATAATGAAAAACTTATTTTTTATTAAAGAGTTTTGTTTAATATTACATGTGGATATGTACAATTGTGTCTTTCTTGAAAACATTTGCATTTGATAAAATGGAATTAATATGTACCGTATTTTTGGTGTATAAGACACACTTTTTTACCCAAAA